CCCCAAAACCCCAAAACCCCAAAACCCCAAAACCCCTACGACCAGAACACATGTTGAACTATTTAGAATATTCTTGAAATAAAACATGCTATGGTTCCAATTCCTCCAAGAAGGAAAAGAGCAAGGAATGCTCCAGCAAGGATTCTAAGCGCAATGATTCATTTAATAGATCTGTACTGAGTCTCTTTTGCTATCTTCTTCATTTCTCGCTTATGCCTGTTATCTTTAGGTTTAAAAGGTTTCCCAAGAATGAGTTCGGCTCTGAGGCCGAAATGATCGGAAGGATACAGATAGCATTTGCTAATCCTTTGGTCGGCAAACATGGTGATATCACTGATAGACATTTGTTTTGATTCAAGCATTCAGATTCTGTCCAACCTCATCCTTCTGTTATCAAATGGGAGCATGACATTAATCAGCCTATTCTTTGAGGGATCCCAAGTGATCCCATCATTATGGGAATGCTTCTCAAGCCAAAGGTCATAAAGTCCTACAGACTCTATGAGAGAAATCTCATTTGGATGGTGAAGGTTTAAATCTCCAAGAATGATGATGTTATTCTTGGAGATAGCATCAGCTATCTCCTCAGTGATTTCTCACTGATGCTCTAACAAAGTTCGCTCCATATTTTCTACCATCTAAAGCTGTCAACAAAAGTGACGCACCTCAAGTTGCCTCTTCCTGACATGTGCATTATTAATCCTTGCGCACAGATGTGCGGCAACAAGGATGAGATTGACCCCATTGATCTTGAACAAAGCGAAGATGATTCTTTTCTTATTGATCAAAACATCAAAAGGATGTTTAGACATGATCAAGGAGTTAAGGCCTCGCTTGCTTTTGATCTCAGAGATCTATAGGTCGACTCAAGTATTTACCTGATAATTCAGCTCGTTCTTACTAAGAAAGCTCATATATTCACAGGTGACCTCGTTCAGACAGATTATGTCAGCAAGACCAGGGAATAAGTGCTTAATTTGGTACTCAAACCTCTGCTTATGTCCATGTAGATATCTGAAAAAGCAACATGAAGGAGGGTAAAGGACATTCAGAGTGGCCACAGTCAGTCTTTCAGGCGAAAGATTTGCTATAATATCCTTATTTTCCTTCATTTCGTAATATATTTCAATTACTTTAGTGGCGAATGGGGTTTTGGGGTTTTGGGGTTTTGGGGTTTTGGGGTTTTGGGG